ATTTCGTTGCAGGATGCAAAGCTAGCCAAAGGTTACCATCACTACCATCCTTGAGTGCTACCACATAATCTCTGTATGTAGGCACCCCCTTTCCTCCTGTCCATCCGATCACATCTGCTTCAGCCTCCGCAGTTTGATTGTTGATGTAAACAGTGAACACTATCTGATTGGTTTTGCTGAGGTAAAAGTCACAAAAGTGTAACCTCACAAGGTACATGAATTTAGGATCAACCTGGTTGAACACCCACGTGAGATTGTAACTCAGGTTGATGTCCTTCTTTTCTCCCATGGATCTTGAGGTCTTGTAGATATCAACAGGAGCAATATATCCTGGCATATCTTTGTAGTCAATTTTAACATCTTTGGCGGCCTCGTTAGTGACCCCAAGTTGAGCACCAAATACATAAGCAAAGTCATCATACCATGTCCTGCTTAGGGCGCCAGAGTCATTGGTGGGTGAAATAAACTGCCCACCAATATTCACTCTAAACATGGTCTGCAAATTTGTACTCTTGCCATCAAAAGTCTGGTCTGAAGCCCCGACAATTGTGGCGCTGCCGAACATGTCAGGCGTTCCAATCAGCTCAATACCATTCACAAAAGCAAAGCCCGCGGAAGGCGAAAAGGTGACCTCTAGAGAATCCTTATTCAGGGGAGCCAGGAAATACTCCCTCATGATATAAGCTTGCGTAAGGGCCTTACAAGTGATTGAAGCACTAAAGTTTTGCAGGACAGTGATTCCATTGGCGATGACCGCAAAATAGGACTGCTCAGCATTGTTGCTGCCATAAACAGCCGGATAGAAATAGAGTCTAATAATGTAGCGCTGCTTGGGTTTCACTGGAAACTTGTATGTGGCATTTGAGGTGAAAATCCTGGCTTTCATGTATGGAACCTCAGAAAGAAGTGCGGGGTCCTGGTATTGGGCTTGAGCCGGACTTCCCTTAGATCCAGTAAGGTACTTTGAGTCTGGTTGCCATTTCCTCCCATCTGCATCTTTGGCCTCATTCTCCGAGCCACAGCCAAGGATCAATGAATCTGAGTCCGAGTTTGCAGCATGGAGGCCATTCAGGAACACAGACACAAAAGAAATAAAAAATACGATGTGTGTTTTGATGCGCATGGCTACCTAATATATATATATATAGAAAAGAATAAAAGAAAAAGAAAAAGAGAAACACAGAGACAGAGTGCTCTGTCAATGGCGTACAGGAAAACAGAGGACTCTGATCAATGAACAAGTAGAAGAAGTTTTCCTGTACGCCCGGAAAAATAAAAAAGGGTTTCTGGGTTTTCTTTGTATTCTTCTCCTATGGGGGGGTTGGGGGTAGGGTGTTAAACTAAGTCATGTCTAATAAAAAACCGTTACCGGTCTTACCTGGATCTCAAGGACTAGACCAGGCAAGACGAAACAGAGAGAGGGTGGATTTTTTTTGGTCTTCTTTGTTCGCAATGTGGGCTCTTTTGTTTGCTAGGTCGTTTTGGGTTTCCATTTCTGGGAGGCGTTCATTATTCTTCACAAACGAAAACGTTGTTGGAAACCAATGATTGGGAGCAAGAATCGTAGATTGTACAGGTTCTGATTGGTTGCAGCACAGTTAGAATTTCTATTTGCAGTAAAAGAAGAGCCTAAATTTAGCATTTTTTGTGTGTGTTCTGTTTCGTAATTTGGAGAATATGCTCGTACATAATTGTTATGATTTGTTCAATGAACCACTGAAATCGGATGGAAAAAATTCACCATTAATTCCTTGGACTAGTTAGCTTGACTTCAATCAGTTCATTTCCCATGAAAATTAGACTAACCTCACCAAAAAAACTACCAAATTAGTCTCCTAGAATGTACAGAAACAGATCATTGCGCGACCAAGCTTTAGCTCTCACAACTAGTAGTACAATAACTTAGGGTTCATTCTTCTCAAAACTTTAATTAAAAAAATGACCAAATCCCTACGTTTTGTCCAACATGAAACTAATAAAGGACATACAGAATTCTATCTTGATCAACTATACATAATGCTCGACAAAATACACATAACGTTGCCTTTTGTGTTTTTTCTTTTTTCTTTTTACATGTAAAGTTGTGAATTCTAGAATGATACAGTTTATATCAAAGCTATTGTTGATATTTATGTACATACATGGTCGAATTAAAATTAACATTGCCCTAAAAGAATGTTCATATGAAATCTTTAAATTCTGTAAGATGGGATTACATATTCCTCCCCCAAGAAAGACAAACATACATAAACTTGGCGAGCATATATAAGATATTTATATCTTATTTTTTAAATACAAGCGATAGAAGAGGGATCGAACTCAATGCAAGAGAATGAGCACACTGCCTTACCTAACCCACGTCAGCATATATAAGATATTTATTAGAATAAACCATTAAATCGAACTCGGTGCAAGAGAATGGACACACACACTTCATTGCCTAACCCAGATCAACATATATGATATTTGTTACAATAGAAGGTTAAAGTACCATCCAAAATTAACAAATGAAGGGACAGTTAGAAATGGATGGAGGAAATGGGAAGGGATGTGCGAGACCGCCGCAGGTCCATCAACCCGTCTTTTCTCCATTAAAGCCCTTCTCACAACATCTGGTTGAGCTGGTCGGGCTGGTGATCATGCACCGCAGAATACGAAACTCCTCGGATCCTGTCTCCTTCTAAAGTTTTTTTGGGGAAACACAAAGCGCCACGCCCCCAACCCCAACCCCCCACCCCCATCCCACACTCAATCTATCGAACCCATCTTTGCCTGGCTGGCGCGGCAGCTTCCAGTCGCTGCCGCTGCCACCACCGTCACATCGAGTGTATATATACACACGTACACCACCGCACCACATACTTCATTCAATTAATTAATTACACAAAAATGAAGGACGAGCAATGCAGACCGCCGACGTCATCGTCGTCGTCGCTATCGCTTTCCCTTTCCTCGTCGGAGGAGGAGCTCCAGCACATGCCGCTGGCGCCGCCCAAGATGCTGAACCGGAAGCGCCTCAGCAAGCAGCTGTCCATGTGCGAGACACCACGAGACATTGCGTGGGAGAAGCGGCGCCGCCAGATTCTCAGGCAGGAGAGTAGGAGGAATGGGATCAACGACTCCGATGACATGGTCCTCACGGACGAAGACTTGCACGAGCTCAAAGGCTGCATTGAGCTAGGGTTTGGATTCAATGAGGAAGAGGGTCAGAGGCTCTGCCCTACCTTGCCCGCTCTTGACCTTTACTTTGCCGTCAACCGCCAGTTTTCCCCGAGTCCCGTGTCCACCCCGAATAGCGCCCGCCATTCTACATCGTCATTGGGTGGACGGTCCTCGTCGTTTGGAAGCCCTAGGAGCGAGACAGATGCATGGAAGATTTGCAGTCCAGGTACCTATGCAATCTTCATACTGTTACATATATTTCACATTTACAATTGTATTGTAAGGAGAAGAAGAAAAAAACTTGCATGGATTTAAATGATCAAACTGTGTCTACTAGTTATAAATATGTATTGAATTAGTAATGTAAAACTTTATTGTAATTAAATTAACATCCAAATTCTTGTTTTGAAACATGAACTCATTTCATCTTGCGGGATTGGGTTTTTATTTTTGTAGGTGATAATCCACAACAGGTAAAAACCAAGTTGAGGCATTGGGCTCAAGCTGTGGCTTGTTCAGTGATGCAGTCTTCTTGAAGTGTGGATCATCAGATGGCTTTGCTTGTACAGACAGAGAGAGAAAGCAAAAGAGGAAGGAAAAAGCTCGTTCTTGTTCAGCGGTGCAGTTTAAATTGAAGTGTGAGATGGCTTTGCTGGTTGTACAGAGGAGAGAGGAGAGGAGACTACTTTCTGCTTTCGGCTTTCTACTTTCTAGAGAGATACATACAGGATTATACAAAACAGGAGAGAAGAGAGGAGAGAGAAGAGGAAGAAGATCGAGGTCGGCTTAAGCTTAAAATTAATTAGGGCTTTGTTGATTAATTTGTGCTTACTGATTGAAAAATGTTAAGCCGCAAGCATGCAAAGAAGTCTTATTGGCACTCGTGAGAACCTAATTGGTTTGGTTTGGTTTGGCTAGAGAAGGATTTAGTGGGCTTAATTTTCCAAGTTGACACTTTGAATATCCAAATTTCTCTCTTGGGTGCACTGCGCAACACGTTTGATGATGGAATGGAACAATTCATTTTTGTGCCTCATCGATCTTATGTTGTCAAAATGGAATTCAAGGAATGTACTATGAAACAATTACATTTAATAAATAGAATTCATCCTTTTAGATTTTTACTCTTTTTTTTTTGTCTGAATCACGAGGTGGTCCTGAATGGGCCCCAACTATGGGTGGCACCTTTAAGCTTTAACCACAACCCAGACTAATCCCCGCTCACACCTGGTCGGCCCGTAAGGGGTAAAGTACTGGCAAAAGTGGTGACTCCGTACAAGAGCAGGGATCGAACCCTGACCTCTCTTAAGGAATGAGAGTGCCGAACCACTCACACCAACCACCTTAGTTTAGATTTTTACTTTCATGTATCTCTCTGATACTCTTTTCCTTTTTCCTTTTTATTATCCTCAACTTGTAAATTTTTACCAAAAATAAGCAAGAATTACAGACTCAATACCTAAAGAGGGCCATCCTCTAGCCAAAAGAAAATACTTTAGAAATTTATCATCAAACAAACCTTTTTGTTTTTCCTTTGGGAAAAGCATGACCTTTCTTTCTAGATAACTTGTGGTTGAGCGGGTAAGATTAGTCAATTAGACTGACGACGGAGCCTATTGTTTTAGAGACACTTGACTAATTTCCGACGACATAACTTGATTTTTTTGTACTACTTACTTATTCTTTCTTCAATGAAATTCTATCGCCTTCTCTCCAAAAAAAATAATAAAATATTGTGGGTGGTACGGGTTACTACTTTTACACTGTAAAGTAAAACTCGTTGAAAAGTAAATTTTGCCTCCGCAAATTTTGACCTCTTTTTTTTTTTTTTTTTTTGCTTTTGCAAATTCCACCTGTTCGGCATAAACCATAAACCCCAGAAAAACTTGGGTCGTCTTCTTCTGTCTCTGTTTCTCGAAGGCGACCGAAGTTGAACTCCCAGTGAATTCTCTCTGCTTACAGCCTCCGACTTACAAACTCGGCCCCTTCTGTCAAAGCTTCAGACACCCGACAAATAAACTACTTCTCCTTCGCTTTGCCCTCCTTATGGCCCCTGACGCTTCAGCTGCCCTTGCAGGTTCTTTCTCTAACCATCACGCACTCTTCCTTTAAATCTGGTTTGTGTTTTTATGGTCCGAGGCAAAAAGTTCACTAATTTATGGTTGCCCATGATTCTAAATACGTATATGTGTCTATATACTGATGCATAAGCCTAATTACTTTTCGAATTTATATCATCTTTATATATCAAAATAGCTCCTTGAATCTTCAATGAAAAAAAAGTAACTTTTTGCAGTGAGGGATAAAGTTCAACAATTTCTCAATGCTGCTGTTACTGGGAATCTTGATCTCTTAAAGAGTGAGTAAATGTTCTCTTTCTGCTATGGATGTTTGATTTTATTTTTTCAATCATGAATTGGTTATTTTTGCTTGTTTTAATTGGCAGTTGTTGTAATTGAATTATTATTATCATTAATTTTTATGATTGGGGGTTTCCTCTTTGGCAGATTTGGCCGGGCAACTTGATGAAGGGAAGGATTTGGCAAAAACTGTGGCTGATATTAAGGATGCCAACAAGCGAGGGGCCCTTCATTTTGCGGCGAGAGAGGGCAAGACTGAGGTGTGCAAGTACTTGCTGGAGGAACTGAAGCTTGATGTTGATACAAAGGACGAAGACGGTTTGTGCTTAATGTTATACATTATCTATTTTTGGTAAACGAGACCAAAATGTAACTGTAGAATCTCACAGTAATATAGAAAACTTAGGCAGACACATATTTCTAATCTGGCTAGAGCTTTGTGTACTTATTGGTATATCATACAGCTTATCCTTTAGAAATTGTTACTTGTTTACAGGTGAGACTGCTCTTATTCATGCTGCTCGGCAAGGCCATACTGATACTGCAAAATACCTGCTTGATTCTGGTGCCAATCCTGCTATAGCCAGTGATTTAGGGGCCACAGCTCTTCATCATTCCGCTGGACTAGGTGGGTTTTGAAAAACTTGTTCTCATAGTAGCATTTCATTTTATGGCTTAATAAAATTACAGGAATCATATTGTGGTTTGTGCTTGTTTACAGGAGACATTGAGTTACTGAGGTATTTGATCTCCAAAGGTGCTGATGTTAATTCCCAAAGTGAAGCTGGCACTCCTTTGATTTGGGCTGCTGGTCATGGTCAACAAGATGCTGTGAAAGTTTTGTTAGAACACCATGCTAATGTAAGCTGTCATGGATATGCTTCTTTACATAAATGCTTATTTGCTTGGTAGTTCTGTAGAGAGAGTGAACTATGAGGTGAGATTGTCTTATATTGTTTTGTTCATATAGTTAATTTTGTTTTGCAGCCAAATTCTGAAAATGATGACAGTATTACTCCTTTGTTATCTTCTGTTGCGGCTGGTTCACTGCCATGCTTAGAGTTATTGATTCAGGTTCAGTTTCTGCCTTACTATTCAATGTAGCAAAACAATTTATCTGTAAAAACAAATTCAATTTTTTACTTGTAGGGTGTTGGAAAGTATTCTGGACAGGTTAATCTTTAGATCATCCTTTGACTTGCAACATTTACTTTTCCATTTTTTGTTTGTATAGGCTGGTGCCAAAGTAAATATTAGTGCAGGTGGTGCAACCCCTTTGCACATTGCTGCTGATATTGGCAGCCCAGAGATCTTACAATTATTGTTGAAAGCTGGAGCAGATCCCAATATCACTGATGAGGTAGTCCACCTTACCTGACACAGGAATTATGCTTTCTGATTGTTAAAAATTGCTCCATTAGTGTAGCTCTACATGAAGTGCTGCATATAGATTCTTAGTATTACAGATGTTAGTTAAATTCATCCTTTTAAAATAAATGGGGACTGAAAAAACCAGATAAATTAATGGTGACTTTTTATTGCACCACAGGATGGTTTGAAGCCTATACAGGTCGCAGCTGCAAGAGGGAACCGCAGTGCTGTTGAGATTCTCTTTCCCTTGACATCAAAGCTTGAAACCATCCCAAAATGGACGGTTGACGGCATACTTGAGTATATGCAATCTGAAACAAGCAGACAACAGGTGACAAGATCTTGACATGTCATTTTCCTTGTGAGGGGACTAAAGGAATTTCTCCAACCTTTTAATTTTGAGAGGGCGACTATCTTACTAGATCTCCTTATTCTTAATATGGCCTCTTAAGTGTTTATTTGTATTATACTTTCACAAAACTTATTGGTTGGCATATGTTGAGTACAGTAGTTTATGGGTACATAAAACATAACAGGAATTCCTTTATTGTCTCATAAACTATGTTTATATATGAACACAGAACATAATTGGATTCCCTAGATTTGGCTGGCATTCCTGAAGCTACCTCAGATTCCTAACTTTCAAGGGATAATTTGCAGGAACAAGCTAGAAACTTGAAGGAACTTAATGTGCCAAAAGACTCTACATCACCGAAACAAGAGCTCCCCGAGGTGGTAACATTTACCCTGTAACTAAATGTGCCCCTGCTGTGCATGTCAATGTTATGAAATTTAATTTAGCATAAAGATTTATGTAGTCTCGTGTTTGTGTCTTACCACTTATTCAGGTGACCCCTGAAGCGAAGAAGAAAGCTGCAGAAGCAAAATCAAGAGGAGATGATGCTTTCAAAACAAAGGATTATAATATGGCCATTGATGCATATACACAGGTGCGTTTTACATCTTCCTCTGTTATTAATGCTAATCAATTTTCTAGTTATGTTGCAAGTTATGTGTTGGTCCCATGCTCAAGACAAGTTTATTGGATTACTGTGGGCCCTATTTTTCTCTATAGAGAGTTTAAGCAGGCTACTTTCGATTGTTCAGACTACTGCTTAGTGACAAGTGTGCTTGATGGGGAAACAACTGACTCTATTTGCTTACGAAATACTACTACTTAGTTCTGTGTTTGGCCATGCATTTACAGGCAATTGATATGGACCCGACCGATGGTACTTTGTTTTCTAATCGAAGCCTTTGTTGGATGCGTCTTGGTCAACCTGAGTATGCCTTAGCTGATGCAAAGGCCTGCAGGGCATTAAAACCAGATTGGGCAAAAGCTTGCTACCGAGAAGGTGCAGCATTGCGCCTATTGCAGGCATGTGCTCACTTAACCATCTCATGATGCTTCTAATGAAATTTTATATGAAAAAAGAACAATATCCAATGAAATATTTATTTGTTATTGCAGAAGTTTGATGAAGCTGCCAATTCTTTTTACGAAGGTGTCAGGCTGGACCCTGAAAATCAGGCACTTGTAGATGCTTTCAGGTTGTATTCAAAAACTGCTCTGCTTTCTCCTCTCCCCCCTTAGTTGTACTGTTTTCTTATTATTTGCAAAACAAAATCAAATGCAAATTGTGTTGCTTGCTTCTGTTTAAGAAAAAAGGGGTTTATTTATAAAATAGGACCTGTTTTTTCCATAGAGTTATTATCACTTTCCCTGGGTTGCAAGCTCTAACCACTTTTTTCTTTACAGAGAAGCGGTTGAAGCTGGAAGGAAATTTCATGGTGCTGATAAACAGAAATCATAGTTTGCCGAATGGTCGTATCTTAAGCGAGTCAAAAGGTTGGATTGAGAACATTTCCTCTTCTTTTATGAGAGTGGGTTGTGGTTTTAATTAGGAACTGTGAGATTGCTAGAGTAGTTGTTACTTATAAATGTGAGAAATTTTTTGCCGTTGCTTCCTTTGTTCAGTTTTGTTAGTGACTGATGTTTGCAGTAGTGTTATTGTGAGGCACTTTTTTATTTTCTATTGTTCTTTCTTCTCTCTGGCTGCTTTTTTTAAATATATATATCGGATATATAGTCTCCCACATTCAACTATTGTCTAGTCATCTCATCAATTTTGGCATATCAATTCTTTTTTCCAAAGTAGTTGGAAAAATCTTTGCCTTTTTGTTATAACTGTCTACTGTCCAAAAAGAACAAGGAAAAAAAAAACTGAAGTCTTGACGTTATGATACAGAAGGGCAGCACTGGTTTAACCAAAAATCCAGTTGTTTTTCAACATGCTACAATTTTTCACTTAAAAAAAATTAGACACACGGCTACATTAAATTAAAATAAACACTTCATAATTTCCAAAGTTTCTCTGACGTCCTCCACCTTCTGCGCTTGCTTTAATCCCCTGTTTCCGAGAGAGGAGAGAGCCCTTCAAATCCTTTCTCAGGGTTCTAGGGTTTCTCTACCAACTTCTCAATTGACTGAGGGCTAAGCTTCCTTCCCCGCCCAAATTTCCGATCTTTTACAGGAATTTCCCGATTTCCATCAACAATGTCGCTAAAACCACCTGCGGCTTACGGCACCATCACCACTACTAACCCCGCCGCCGCACAAACCTCCAAAGATCTCACCTTTACCTCCCGTGCCAATCCCCAAACTTCCCAACCCGTGTACCCCGCACGCAGCTCTCAATCCGTGTACCCCACGCGCCGCCCGTGGCCCGAGCTCTTCTCCCTGACCTCCTTCTCCGTTCCGTACAACTACGCCGACGCCATGGCTCGAATCAAGCACAACATCAGCTACTTCCGCGTCAACTACGCCATGGCAGTGCTCCTCATCGTCTTCCTCAGCCTCCTATGGCACCCAGTCTCCATGATCGTCTTCTTGATCGTCCTCGTCGCCTGGCTCGCCCTCTACTTCTTCCGAACTGGCCCCGTCGTTTTGTTCAACCAGAGCTTCGACGACAGGCTGGTAGTGGTCGTGCTGAGCTTGGTCACTGTCGTAGCGCTGGTGTTTACCCACGTGGGTTTGAATGTGTTGGTGTCGTTGATCGTCGGGGTGGTGGTGGTTGGGCTCCACGCCGCCTTTCGGGTCACCGAAGACTTGTTTCTTGACGAAGAGACTGCGGCTGAAAACGGGTTGGTGTCGGTTGTTGCAAACCAGCCCCTGCGCCCGACTTCTTACACCCGGATTTGAATTCTCGGGTTGGTTTGATTCTTCGCCGCTAAACTTGGGGTTTTGAGGTTGTACAAAATATTTCAGATGAGGGTTTTGGGGATTTTTATTTTTCCAGGAAAAATTCGATTTTTATGGGAAATTTGGATTTTTGGAGCTGTGATGCAAACTGTAGAGGGACAACAATGTAGCAATTGCAGCTTCAAGAGGGAAAGGTGATTGATTTTTTTGTTATTGTCTTCTTCTTTGATATCATACAGTGGATGAAGTTTGGTTACTACTTCTGTAACAGTTTCTGGTGTATTTTAATTGTTAAGCTTGAAATAGTTGTGATTTTGATTTATCCCTTGTGTTTTGAGTTTTTACTTGGTCTCGTTTTGTTCCACTTTCATGCTTGACTAAACTGAAACTGAATTCTTGAACACAGATAAAATTTTAAGAACTTGGGGCTTGGAAGGAAGATACATTGAATTACTAGGGTTAAGGCTTTAATCCTTGTATGTATGGGATACCTGTGGATGGCAGCCATGAGTTCCCGTCAATAAACCTGGCCGCCGTAAACCAGTCAGCCTCCGATGGGTTGGCAATCACATGATATCCCGTCCACTTGACTCTGCCAGCAAGCTCCGCACCTGGCCCCGTGTTCATGTACTCACCATAATAGAGTGTGCCAATCCCCAAACTCCCTCTGAATTCAAGCCAACCCTCGGGCATTATAACATTGCTTATATATGATTGTATGAACACTGTCCGTGAATATTCACCCCAAGGTCGACCAAGATACGCTTTGCCTATGAAATCGGGGTCTGCATAGATCTTGCATGATTGGAAGGAGAAGCCTGATGCGTCGTTTAGGGCATATCGGCCATGCGCTGTGACCACGCTGATTTTGCCTATTACATTTTTCCTGACAATGAGTGCACAATTTTGGAAAACAGCAGTGCCATAGCCAAAGATGAAGTCGACACTGCCACTGATTTGGCAGTCTCGATAGAACTGACGGCCGACATGCACACACAATGAGTCTTGGTATCCACTGATCTTGCAGCGATAGAAGACAGCACCATCGCTGGCGGATAGAAGTGCAACTGCCTGCAAACCTTCTGATCCTGCAGCGTTCTCAAACCCTATGTCCATTGCAATGAATCCTTCGGCCGATACCGCTAATACAGAATGAATTGACAACAAAAGTCAAACACAAAACAATAGGAACAGGTTTTGACATGTTATGTCATCAAACCCTGTTATTATATATTTTTTAAAGGGTCATGCTAGGGAGACCAACTTTAGATACCAACTTGTGTATCAATTCTCTAATAGAGGTGGAGCTCACCAGTACAATGGGTCCCATGCTCTATTAGAGAGTTGGTACACAAATTGGTATCTAAAGTTGGTCTCCCTAGCATTTTCCTTTTTTTAAAAGATAACTTTTGCCTAAATGCATGGTATTGATTGGTAACGTAATTTTGAAATAAATCAAGTTTTGGTGCTTACCAAATGTCGGTGAATCAAATGTTGACCAACCATCACGAAAGCTTCTACTGCCAGATATGGTAGTGACGTCCATACCCTCGCCAATCATGACCAAATTCCACTTTTGGCTATCGATTTTCACGTTTTCTTTGTAAAACCCTTTCTTAACAAATATCACAAAGTGATCTTGGCTATGGTTTGGTGCCGCAGCTACGGCCTCCATTATTGTTCTAAAATTCCCATTCCCATCTTTACAAACCGTAACGTTTGGCGTTTGCAAAAATTTCGGGCCAGCATTAGCTGCTCTGCGGCCACGGCCAGGTGGTACTTGCAACATGCTAAGCAGCTCTAGGGTTGATGTGGTCACTTGCTTGAAGCTCTGTGCTGCCATGGAATATTTGGTGCCATCAAACACTTCCATGCATGTCTTTTGGCTGCCGAGGTTTGCATCCAACCTTGCTCTTGCATGGGAAATGACATCAGTACTTGTGCGATAGTATTGTGTATAACCTGTAAAATGAAGCTTTAGCGTTAGCTCTGGTTTTTCTTGTCCTCAATGAAAGAAAATGAAGAAATGGTTAAGAATTTAAAACCCTTTCAATATATATATGAAATGAACCTTTCGGGTCGTGATGAATGGCGGAAAGAGACCAATTCAAGGCTTCATAAGTTGAGCCAAGCACATCTGCACAATGTGAAATAGCAATATTAAGATTTCGATCATGATCATCGTGGTCATCCTGAGCATCAGCATACATGCGGATGCGGGGAATGGCAGAGGCCACGTTTTGGACAAGTTCCATGGTAGAGTGCAATGAGTTTTTGAACACTGGCAGAGGGACGTTTATGATATTAGCGCGTGGGGTTTTGGACAGAGCACAGAGACAAATGATGAAAAAGATGAAATGGCAGGAGCACATCTTCATCAATGGACACATGAGAACAGAGCAAATTAAGAGAGAAGCAAAGCAAGAATTTGACAATTAAGAAGAATATGCAAATATATAACATGCATGCAGAAATTTGGAAGCGATGATAACGCCCAAATTTAAGTGGTCGGATTGAATAATTATTACCATAAATTATGGATGTTAATATTATGCAGCAAAGGATTTTCCTGGGATCTTTTCCTTATTAAACCCAAGGTACTGAGATATTTCCAAAAATCATATTTTCTTCCTTCCCATTTTTGTTTCATTAGGAATTAAAATTGGAAGAATTTCTCCATCAGGAATAATCTGATGTTCAACATTATCTTCTTTTGACCTTTCGTGAGTAAAAATGGTATATATTAAGATTAATTATCTCCCTTCATCTCCGTCTGAGTTTTGTCCCCCGCTCCTTTCTTCTTCTGTTGAAGTCAAATGTGAAATGTTCTCCAAATGATTTGTTGCCTTGTAGAACTTGCATTTAAACTTAAATCAATTTGATTGAAGGTTTAAAGTATGTGCAGAATTACTGGTACTCTTGAAAGTGTAGATTCAAGAGGTCAGAAAGCCGCTATGGGCTTGTAGGTAAAGAGCATTTAACAATATCATTTTGCTTTAAACAAGAGGTCAGAAAGCCATGACACCTGCAAGTACGCACTCCTGCCATATCACTAACAAGTTTGGTGCTCTTGGACTCAAACGCTATAAAATGAACTTTCTGAAATCAAAGAAGACCATCCAGATGGTAGGAACAAGTTTCTTCATGTATTAAAAATATAAGTTAACAATTCCTTTAAAGAACAAGAAGGAAAATCATATCAACAACAAATCCTTTATCATTTGAAAAACCGAACTACAGAAACACAAGTCCTGCGTTTAATCCTCCTCTAGATTGATGGAGTCCTTGAACTTTCCATACAAAATTTGCTTCAATTCGGCCATCTGTGCAAGAATAGATTCCTTCTCTTCCTCAAGTTTCTCTAAATTTTTGCTCGTCACCTCTTTCATCTCTTCAATCCTGCTCTCCACTTCTTCTTTTGGCACATGGGCAAACACTTCACCTATCTGGAACCGGACCACCTCCTCATCAGTGAGAATCAACTCATTGCTTGCATCCTCCAGATTCTCATTTGATTCCTGGATGGCAACATGGATCAGAAGAGGGCACAACTTACAAAATATACCAGGATGACAATGACACAGACACAGGTAAATAGAAAGTGATGTTCATGTTCAAAAGCTAGCACTAGTACCATGATTGAGAAGGTGAGAGTCAACATAATACAAACTCTCACATAACTTTAACACATTAAAACACCATAAAAAATGAAATCGCTTGGTATAAGAGGTACAAATGCAGTCTCGAAAAAGAAAAAGAAAAACTAAAGTCAAACAATCAAGGGACTGGATAATGAAATGCAGTCTACCATAAGCTTCCCAAGGAAAATGAAAAAGAACGGTGGCCTAGTTCACAAGACTCTCACAATGGCAGATCAGACGTAGGCAGCCTTTATACCCGCTTAATTAAGGAAAGCAATTCATCCCAAGGAAAATCTATGGGGTTAAAGTAAAGTAAAGAAAAATGCATTTAAACATGCAAAATTCCAGGCAGGAGGCTCATTGCACACAAATTTGATCATTTGGCAGCTGGCACATACCAGGAAAACAAACATTCAACCTTTGTCAATGTGAATTTCTGAAATCGATGCCCATTGCAAAACATAAAACTCACAGGGTAGTTTGCCAAATCATTCAGGTAGAGCAGTCCCACCAAACCTAGAAGACTAATAAATAAAGTCAATTTAGTTTTAGTAGCAGTGAGGCCAATCCTAAACAATCATTTCATCACCTTTCTTTTCGCTTCACTTCACTCTTTTTCAATTTTAGAAGAAGCCATCGCTGCCACTGGTTGGGTCGAGAAGAGTAGAGAAGCAGCCACCCGACCCGCCCAGACCCGCCCAGGCTGCCTAACTCCCTGGCGCCTACCCCTAACGATTAGGGTTAAGTGTCCTGCCGCCTAGGCCGATTTTTCGAACACTGAATTTTATATTACAATCTCGAGCCCTTGCACACTCTTAATGCAATACATGGTACATGTTCTATTTATAGTCGATTTGAGATAAAACAGCATCGATTTTTCAAGACAAAACAGCATTTAGTAACCAGAAAAGAAAAACAAAAAACGAATCTTTTAAGTAAAAAAAACAAATAAACGTCCACAGAAAGGAAATACCTTGGCGAATTTGATCTCGTCCTCGAGCTCGTGAAACCGGTTATTCAATCTGCCAAATTTGTTGATGTTCTGCTGGTCTTCCCATGTCACCTCCGTTTCAGATCCTCCACCCTTGGCCCAAAAAGACAAAACAAAATTAAAAAAGAAACCTTTTGCATGGAATTATTAGATTATGCGAATGAAAAATTAGGGCTTTGACTCACCTGTTGCATGCTTGATTCAAAAAGGTTGAACAAACTCAACGAAGCTCAGTGAACTGTGAAGAAGAGTAAAGCCTGCGACGAGGGCACTGTGGGCATTTCGATATATATACCTAGCTAGTGTCAACAACTGCAACCCAAATTCTATTTTGGGCCTAATATCGGGTCAATCTTTATTGTGCTTCAAGCAGCGTATTTAAAGCAAAACATGGCCCAGTGTGAAGATGTGTAAAGGGTAATATGGGTATTGTCAAATTAAGAAATGTCAAAAAAAAAAAGGGTTCTTTTCTTTCTTGGCCTGAGAAATGTCAAAATCTAATACCAAGAAATCAGGGTTTGACCTGAGGAACTGCATCCCACAAAACAAAAGAAGTGGTATAGATGAAGCAGCGTATTTAAAGCAAAACATGGCCCAGTGTGAAGATGTGTAAAGGGTAATATGGGTATTGTCAAATTAAGAAATGTCAAAATCTAATACCAAGAAATCAGGGTTTGACCTGAGGAACTGCATCCCACAAAACAAAAGAAGTGGTATAGATTTCTTTCAAAGAACACATGGCCTGGGGCTGCTTCCAAATTTTCTAAAAACAAAACTGCCATGCCGTTGCCACCTTAAGAGAATCCATGTTTGTGTGAGAGACTAGCTTAGCTACATGATCTAATTTTAGCCATTAATTCATGCAAACCTACCACCTCCTATTTCAGGATATATCTCCACACTAAGATCAACTAATTTTGCCTCAAATTGCACTGCAATGCAAGCAAACTCATTGCAGCACTTCTTTTTATTCTTACAGTTAAGTTGAAGCAACTCTCCCTCTCTTGATTTCTCTCATGGCAGCTGCAGATCACTCTACCCTTTGCCATTTACACTTGGTGACTATTAATCTTTTCCTTTATCTTGTATGTCATTCTTCATTAGCAAGCAATGTTCATGGTGGTGGATTCAGTGTCGAACTTATCCGCCGAAACTCCCCAAATTCACCATTTTATAATTACAATAAAGCTCCTTCAAGGAGCTTATACAGACGCTTTCGACGTCTCATGGAGCCATCCAATCCAAACACACCGCAATCAGAAGTAAGACGTGACTATGATGGCGAACATCTTATGAAGCTCTCAATTGGAACTCCACCGGTCGACATTTATGGGGTTGCTGACACAGGCAGCACACTGATATGGACACAATGTGAGCCATGTCTTGATTGTTACAAGCAGAAAAATCCCAAGTTCGACCCGAGAAAGTCCTCAACATATAGAAGCCTCACATGTGGTGCACAAGAATGCAACTTACTTATTGACTCTGGCTCCTACTCTTGCTCATCACCTGATGATCATAAAGCGCTTTGCAATTACAATTACAGCTATGTAGATGGTGCAGCCACCAGAGGGGTACTTGCAAAAGAAACAATCATCATGAAATCCACATCTGGGGAACCAGTTTCCGTCAAGAATATTTTGATTGGTTGTGGACACAACAATACAGGGGAAACATTTCTTGAGAATCAAATGGGAGTAGTTGGGCTTGGGACTGGGAACATGTCATTCATTTCTCAAATTGGTCCTGGACTTGGAGGCAAGAGGTTCTCCTACTGCTTGGTTCCACCTCATGCCAATCCCACAGCTACAAGCAAGATGAGTTTTGGGAATGGGAGTGAAGTGTTGGGTGAAGGGGTGGTCTCAACACCTTTGATCTCCACACTGGACAAGACCGCTTATCGCGTCACGATAGCAGGGATGAGTGTCGGAGATAAGTTTGTGCCTTTCAATTCATCGGAGACTAATGCGGTTTCGAAAGGCAACACCATTCTTGATTCAGGAACACCAAACACATACTTACCACAACAGTTTTATGATCCCTTGGTTGCAGAGTTGAAGAAGCAGATTCCAAGGACCCCCATTGAAATAGTGGACCCAACTTTTGGGACCCTAGTGTGCTACAATACCGCGACGAATCTCAAAGGACCAACATTGACAGTGCATTTTGAGGGTGGTGCTAATTTGCAGTTAACACCAACACAGACCTTCTTTCAGCACCAAGAGTTTAAGAATTTCTGCTTTGCAATGCAAAACTCCAGTTATGTCACTAATGATGATTTTGTTCTTTATGGAAACTATGTTCAGTCAAATTTCTTGATTGGTTTCGACCTAGATAGAAGGCTGGTCTCCTTCAAGCCAACTGATTGTACAAATACAAGTGCTGCTATTCCCACTCCCTTTTTCTACTTCTCCACCTACCTTTTGAATCTTCTTCTAATTGTAATCTTGTCCTTATAGAGAATTAGTTACTCAAAACAACATTATCCAATCTAAGCATTTCACCATATGTCACTATATGGATGAAGAAACAACATTAACAGTTTTTATTTTTTATTTTTAAGTAATTAAGGTTATTCAAGGGAACTGTGGAAATAATGAAGAAACTCATGAAAAAGAACAAGTTCAATTCAATGGTTCTGAAATGAAGAATCTCATAGATTTGAAATTCAAATCCTTCCATCCATATGCAATCATAAGTTATCATATTTTCCATTCGAGTCCTTCCATGTCTGTTAATAGGCATGGAATCAAAGAAAGAGTTCTCAACAACAAATATTTCTAATCTTAGTAAGAAAGAATATTACAAGAATTATTGTAGGTGATATTTGACTACTTGATCTTTTGATCTAAGGATTTGTGTTTCTCTTTGAGTATCTCTTCTTGTCTGAATTTGCAATAAAGGGTAGTACGGATATATTGACATTGCTAGACCTGGAGAGAAGTCAAAGGTTGAAAACCCAAGAAATGAGGTTCAAGCTTTGACCAGGGTCCAGAGGAACAAGTGGTAAAGAGCTTTTTTCAGAAAAACGTGGCCTGTAGGCTGTGGCCACTTCCAAATTTTCTAAAAACAAAAAAGCCACTGCAACCGTAGGATTAGCTTAAAAAAGAATCACTTCTATTTAAGGCTTAATTGTACACTCTCTCTTTTCTTACATATCTCCTTGCCTGAAATTGCATGTAATATGCAACCAAAAACTCTTGTTGTAGCTCTGTCTCTCTTAATCTCTCCCATACATGGCATCTGCAGACACTAGAGGAGGCCCTCCTCTTTTACACAATTATTATGGTGTAATAAGTATGATCTGGATCATCATTTGTCTAATGGTATGCCACAATTCAGCTACAGCTATAGCCGCAAGCAGTTCAAATCTTAATAATGGTGGGTTCAGTGTCAAACTAATCCGCAGAACCTCCCTAAAACCACCACTTCATAATCACAATCATAAAGTTTATCGACGTCTCATGGGGTCATCCGACGATCAAACTACCCCACAATCAGATATAAGGCGTGACAAGGAAGATGGTGAGGGTGCACAACTTATGAAGCTCTCAATTGGAAGTCCACCCTATGAGATTTACGCCGTGGCTGATACCGGCAGCACACTACTATGGACACAATGTGAACCATGTCCAAATTGCTACAAGCAGAAAAATCCCAAGTTTGATCCAAAAAAGTCCTCATCATACGGTACCCTACCATGTTCTGCAAAAGAATGCACTTATGCTAATGGCACTGGCTATACCTCCTGCTCAACTGATGATCAAAAGGTTTGCAATTACAATTACACTTACATGGATGATTCACTAACACAAGGGGTAATGGCCAAAGAGACAATTACATTTGGATCCAGCTCGGGGAAGCCAGTTTCGTTCAAAAATGTTGTGTTTGGTTGTGGACATAACAATACAGGGGAAACTTTTGCTGAAAATGAAATGGGAATAGTAGGGCTTGGAGTTGGGAACTTATCAATTATTTCTCAAATTTCTCCTTATGTTGGAGGCAGAAAATTCTCACATTGTCTCATGCCGTTCGATCCGGATCATCCCAATGATGCAAGCATCATGAGTTTTGGCAAGGGGAGTGAGGTTTCAGGTGAAGGTGTGGTCTCAACACCTTTGATCACCAAAGATGGCAAGAACCAATATTTTGTTACAGTGGAGGGAATTACTGTTGGAGATAAGTTTGTGCCTTTTAACTCATCATGGTCTGTTTCAAAAGGGAACATGTTTCTTGACTCAGGAACACAAGTGACAATGTTGCCACAAGATTTTTACGACAGATTGGTGGCAGAAGTAAAGAAGAAGATGGAACCGTCATCATTGAAACCGATCGAAGTAAATGACCCGTCTGGAACTCTGCTTTGCTACAATGCCACAACTAATCCCAAAGCACCAATGATGATGGTGCATTTCGATGGCGGTGCTAAAGTGCAGCTAGCACCAGCACAAACGTTTTATCAAAACAAACGAGATAAGTTGTTCTGTTTTGGAACGCTCAACTCAAGCAATCCATTGAGTGAGGGTGTTGGTCTTTATGGAAGCTATGCTCAGTCAAATTTCTTGATTGGTTTCGACCTGGAGAAAATGTTGGTCTCCTTCAAGGCAACTGATTGCAGAAAGCGTAGCACTCGTGCTGCTAATGGTGCTTCTGCCACTCCCTTTTCGTATTTCTTCAACTACCTTTTCAGTTTTACTTTGCTTGCAATTTTGTACTTCTAGAAAATTAGTTGGAAAGAACATACTGTATGTAAGCATTTCATTACCAAAAGAACAAACATTTCTAAGATTCTTCGATTCAGCGAGCTATAGGATCATATATACTGTCAAAACAAAGAACCGTTATCATGCAAATTTAAGAGTTCTTAATGCTAGGTTTGATTATATACTGCCAAATTGGCTTCCAAGAAAATGGTCATCTAACCAGAAGAACTTCCCACACAAGTTAAAACAAATTCTTTGCAAAACATTTAATACTAAAAACATGAACATATTCAACTGAACTAACATCCTAAATTTGTAACCCAAAAAAGGTAAAAAATTAGCATATCCAATCATTATTCCAATGAGTTGGAAACAAAGTGGCATATCCTACAACAACGAAACAGTTGACCTGCACAAAAACCTTCCTAGCGAAGATAACAGTCTCCTAATTAAGTATGAATACAATTATTATTAGAATTCCCGGAACTGGGAGCTAGAAGGTAATTAATTAAGCAATCTTCTGTTTTTTCTTTTGAGTCTCCTAAACTTGAGAGCCAATTAAGGCTAGATTTCGTGCACAACCTGTTAACCCCAATCACAATTCACAATATGAATGCTCTTTGGAACTCA